TGCCACGACCTCGGGCCAATGTTCCCCAGTACGGCCCTCGCGCTCGGTTAGTTTTAAAATTTTCGAAACTGCGCTTGTTGTGAAAAATATTTGAAGGATAATAAACACAATAGCCTCCATTTGACTTTGAAAATATGCTCGGATATTTGCCCTTGGACATTATCTGTTACTCGAAGCTCACAGTTTTTCTCGAGCTTCGCTCTCGGAAAACTGTTCGCTTCTCGGAACAGATAATGTCTGCGGACAAATATCCGAACATATTTTCGCGCCAAATGGAGGCTATTGTTTATATATTTACCAAAAGCAGACTCTGTAAATGGGGGGCTTAGGATTCGCGTGCCTAACTTCATATCTGTTACTTTCTATCGATCGATACGAAAGTTTGTTAAATTTTCTTTCATGTACAGGGAGAGTGAAGTGTGTTATATATGCAGTACAAGATGAATACTTACGAGAATTTCATTTGTGGTTGTATTTTCGGTCGGTGTCTTCTCTTTCACTGGAATCTCTTCACCTGCCGTCTGTAAGCTCAATACCAATTTCCATTAGTTTGAAACAAAGATTTAAACAATCGGCGCGGAGAGAGAAAAACCGCTTCAGCTGTTGGCTTCAAAAAAGTTTCCTCCTTATGCTAAGGTTATATAAAAAAAAACTGTGGATAATTCCTCACGGCCCGATAAAAGGAGAGATAACCTGAGACATTGCTATTGTATTTTCTAATCACCTGCCAATTATGAAATGACTGACTCTACCTTGCAAATGCCCTTTGATAAAAAGTCCTTAAAGAACGCTGCAGAATTTTTACGATAATCATTTCGTTTTGATTGTCTTCATATTTTGGCAAATTCATTTGAGATCCAGGCTTGATTGTTAGTTCTTAACACTTTCTGCCAATTCTTCATCAAATAACGTAAAAATATAACTAGAACAAACCTAGAGACCGCACTCGTCAGTCTTAGAGGGCGAAGAAATGATATAGCGACCCTCCTGGGGAAAACGGACCAGGGCGCTCGTCCTGCCTTTCAGGGGTTAAAAGAGTGGTTTTGATACCTCTTCGAGTGTTCAGCCTCGAGATGTCCATAGCAGGAACGTTTGCGGTACTTTTTAAGGTATTGAGCCGAAAAAAATGGATAATGATAATGAGAGATAATGTGTTATTTTAGAACTGGTGCCTCTAAGGGTGAAAAAAACTTCAAGCCACGCCCACAAAACAGGACCTTGGTACATCTTAGGAGTTCTTTTCAAAATTTCGGTCGAGCACCCCCTCCCTTTTAATATGGGAGTCTTCCCCCGGATAGCGACAGGTGGCCTTGTAAGAACTTCCCGGCGTACAGTTGTTTTTGGGCCAAGTCTATCTTTATACTAATCTACGACTATAAAAAGAAACCGACCTCAAGCCGGGTATCCATTTCATTGTCAATATCCGACATTGCGTGTTTTGACCTGCAAGATGCAAAAATATTAAACCGTACGTAATTTACCCTACCTGATGCTAATGTGAAACTAGCGATAGGCTGGCTACTACTACGATTAGAACGAGGACGAGGACAAAGACGGGGGCGATGACAAGGACGACGACGAGACGACGACGAGCTCGAGGAGAGGACGAGGACGAGGCGACGACGATGACGCCGACGACCAGCACACGACGACGACAGCTACAGCTACTTATACCACCAATACTACTACAGGCACTATTCTATACAGGTTTGTAGTTCGCAAAGCCCCCTACTTTTTTCAAACTGTAACTATCTCTATTTGTTTTCGGTTTGTTATTATTACCTCAAAACTTGCCTGCTATTGCATTTTGTAAAATGTGGAATATTCGGCTGCAAATGCCTTGCTTTGATGCAGGACCTTGCGGAAATTGACTAGTTTTCAATTCAGCTGATCCGGCAAGAGCTCTGTTGCTGTTTAACATGTTAATTCTCTCAATATGAAAGCCAATCAACACATGAAATATTAAAAACAACGAGCACTTTACTCCACATGTCGAAATTGTAAATCATCGAATATTTGCATGTTTTATCGAACGCCGAGTAAA